GCAACTGGTAAGCTCCAGGTTGGTATATGCTCACTGCAAGACCTCATGGACTGGGAGGGGGGTGTAAAGGAAACTCACATGGGCTGACCGGAGAACCAGCAGTGCAGCACTGGGCAGATGCTCCCACACTGCTTGACTGCTGCAGACGAGGCTGTTCCACCATGCTGAAGCCACAATCAGAATGGCTCTGCCAACTCTCCCCCCAGTAGTCTCCTGTTCCCTCCTTTGCACTAGTCGCTCGCAGGCCGCATAAGAGCCCTAGACGGGCCACTTCCGGCCCCCAAGGCCTTATGTTTGACACCCTTGATCTAAATGAATCCCACATGGTATGACTATACAACCTAAGCTCACACCATGTGGTGAAGAACAAAGAATCATCCAAATGCACTTTTGGAACTGTTTAAATTGAAGCTCTAGATTGTCACAGTAAAACAAATTTACAGCATCAGTAACAGCTTTAAAAAGTATGTGTGTTAATACGTGCATAAAGTTTCACGTTAGCCCTTCTGGAGTAAAAAGAAGCCACCAAAGAGGTCTTGCTTCTGTTTTTGCTGTGGGATCAATGCTAGCAGAGTGTTCCCCTTCCTATTCCTATGCATATGATCCCAGCAAAGCCTGCATTTCTATCTATGTTCCTTTCTTACTCCAGTCCTTAATGGGCAGCAGATGGACATAGCATTATTTACCACTATAAAATGATGCATTCACAATACCTGGGTTTCAATGGACCACGTACTATATTAAATAGTATCAACAGGACAGACATCACATGTGCTTGAAAAGTGTGGCTTGTTATTGGCTTTCTGTAGATGTTCTCCCCCCCTTTTTGATTGAACGACCTCTGCAGACACAGCTACAGTATCTAGCTGAGGAAATCCATAAACTCTCTTTGGGAGGAACTTCATTTTGTATTGACACGTTAATAATATAGAACTCAATAAATAACTATTAAATAGCAGGTTTGCCCGCTTGTGGCTCTTCACAACAGTTGTTCATAATAGTAGTTCACAATCTGTTATCTTGGAGGTCCTGAAACCTCATCATACAAGATGGCTTTGAAGCTGAGATAATTAGTTTTTTAAAAAATCACTTTCAAAATCAGTATACGAGTCTCATTGGCTTCAACAGGGCTTACTCAAGAGCACAGCCTTCTCCAGAAGTTTCAGCTTGTAGTTTGACTACTATATGTAGTAATCAGGGGTTGTTTCATAGAAAAAGAGCTAGGGGAACTCATTAGCATAACTCATTAGCATATGCCACACCCCCTGACATCACCGGACACACCCCGCCCCCAACGTTCCCTGCCGCCGCCGGCCTTGCAGCTCCACTGCCGAGCCCCATGAGGGGCCCGGCGGTGGACATGCAAGTCCGGCGGGAGTGCAAGGAAGCCCCGCAAAGGCCCTCCCTGGCCCCAGGCAGGCAGGGGTGGGGAGAGGCAGGGAAGAAGCAACTTACCCTCCCTCTTCTCCTTCCTCCTCCTGGCTGAATGAGGGCCGGAAGCGGGGCGGCCGGAAGCGGGGCGGCCGGAAGCGGGGGGCGGGGCTTCGTCATGTGCCCCGCTCCCCATACCTCACCCGGGGGAACTGCGATCCCCCGCGAAATGATCTCTGGTAGTAATTGACATTTCCTCCCACCCTTTGTCTAAGCAGTTGTGGGAAGTATGCATAGTTCTCCCCGCATCCTTCATTTCATTCTTGTAACAACCCTGAGAGGTAGGTTAGGATGAGAAGATCACCTGAGCAGCTTCATAGCTGAGCAGAGATTTGTTAGATCCAAGTTCATCTCTTTCAATACTGTATCACACTGGCTGTAGTTTCTACAAGGAGCAGGGCTTTTTCAGTTGTGGCTATGGAACTATGAAACAAATGGCCTAGAAACACTCAATCATGTTCTTCCTTAGACTCATTTTGGAAACAAGTGGAAACTTTTTTTCCATTCTACATCTATTTAGGTTTTTTTAGTGTTTTAAATGTTGGTTTGCTTTTGAATCACATTATTAAAATGTTTATATGTACCAATTTTTTAATTGCTTTACTACATCTAAACCATATGTGTAAATAGATTGTATCGAAATGTGGTAAATATATAACAAATGAACATGTCTGACCAGTAGAAGAGTCAATAGTTCCATTGCAGCTACCACACAGTATTGATTGAATGCAAGGGTGGGGTAGGATGGTCACAGAAGGTTCCAACCAACCTATGCACATCCATTTAAAGGTCCACATGAATTCTACACGAACACCATGCATAGGATTCATTTCTCTGTATGTTCATAGGATCCACCTTAACCGGGAACCCCGCCATCAAAACAAGGTTCCTAATTGCATGGAGGGAGCTCTATGAGGGTACAGCTTTATTGCAAGATCCGGCTCCTCCTGCCATGCAGTTCATTCATGCAGTTCATTCTACAGCACACTACCTGCCATCTTAAAAGGGTGCACATGGCTGTGGAACACAATCCCTGTGAAGTGGCTGCATTTATGCATAGGAGTGCAGAATCACCCAGAAAAACCAACACCAAAGAATGACTTTGTGCAGGGGTCATTTCCTGCGGGAGTGCACAGGAGCAGCGCACCGGAAGGAAGGAGCCCAGGGGGTGGGCACATGCAACAAGCCCCACCCCCTGCTCCCAGCAGCCCTCAGTTGGGCCATGAGGAGCAAGAAGCAGCCAGGTAAGTTGCAGAGCCCGCCCCCTCCGGCCCACCTTCAAGTACAAGCTCTCCCTCCTCTGTGAGGGCAGATCTGCGCATTTGCCTCCACCCATAGCTAGCAATCCAAAACAGTCCAGTGACACCTTTAAGACCAAGTTTTATTCAGGTACAAGCTCTCCCTCCTCTATGAGGGCAGATCTGCACATTTCCCCCCACCCATAGCTAGCAATCCAAAACAGTCCAGTGGCACCTTTAAGACCAAGTTTTATTCAGGTACAAGCTCTCCCTCCTCTATGAGGGCAGATCTGCACATTTCCCCCCACCCATAGCTAGCAATCCAAAACAGTCCAGTGGCACCTTTAAGACCAAGTTTTATTCAGGTACAAGCTCTTCCTCCTCTGTGAGGGCAGATCTGCCCCCCCCCATAGCTAGCAATCCAAAACAGTCCAGTGACACCTTTAAGACCAAGTTTTATTCAGGTACAAGCTCTCCCTCCTCTGTGAGGGCAGATCTGCACATTCCACCACCCCCCATAGCTAGCGATCCAAAACAGTCCAGTGGAGCCTGAGCAATGGGTGTTGCCTTCTGACACACTTCCAGTGATGTCAAGGGGTGTGGCATATGCAAATAAGATATGCTAATGAGCTCCTGCACCTCTTTTTCTACAAAATGACCCCAAACCCCCCCCCCCCTTCCTTTTGCTTCCAGGTGTGGAAGGGACTTGAGTTATTTTTGGGGGAAAGGAAAAGCCTTCTAATCTTGAGATCAGTTTTTTAGTCCTGTGATATACAGTGCCACTGGAAAACAGTGGCCTGAAACAGGTAAGCATTCTGATGAGTTGATTGAAAATACTTGTTATCCAAAAAATATTTCATAGACAAAATTTGAATTGACTGATACCTTACTCATTGTGCGTGAAGCAAAATTCACACTCTTCATTTTGGGTTTTTTTTGTCTGTCAGGTGAATTAAATTATGGAAAACATTTTTTGAAACAAGGTTATGGCTAAATCTGTTGAAGCTCAGGGGGCTGAAAGGCCTACAACAACCATGCTAGAGAACCTAGGTAGTCTTTCCTTGAAAACGTTCAATAGGGAGAAATTATTTTTTCTGGAATTGTTCCCATCTCTCAGCTCGTGAAGGCATTTCACAGGAGAAAAGATGCGTTTACCATCCACTCTGTTGGATGGGAGTAGGGTTCAGATCACAGGTGCGATCCTTAGCTAAGTTGAAGCCATATTAAAGTGCAACCGACATCCCTTCCCATTCGCCCCCACCCCCCGGGGACTAGAGAGCCAAGTGGGGGGGGGGGAATGGAACAGTCCATTTAGCACCAAAATCCGGGGTTGGAGCACGAGGAGGGGCGCGATCTTCTTGAGCGCGAAAACGAAACCTGCTCCCGAGGAAAGCCTCTTATACGTGCAAATTCTCAGTCGGAGGGTGAGGCTTCCCACACTCCGTGGAAAGAGCATCGTCCCGTCCACTCCGAACCATCCTTTCCCAGGGCAGGAAAAGCCTGTTCCCCCCCTTTCCTCTCTTTCTCTGTGCGTAGGAGCCGAATGCGGTGATCCGGGGAGCGAGGGAAGGGAGGAGGAGCAGGAGCGGGATGACTTCATGCAGCCGGAGCGCTGTGAATTTGGGCTCAGCAGCTGCAGCTGGATATGGTGGGGGGTGAATGACAGCCAGCACGATTGCCGGGCGTTTGCCCAGCGCACCCCCCGCCTCATCTCCAAACTGCGGCCGCAGGGGATTGCCGGCGCTGGGGATTGCCAAGGAGCAGAGGCGGCAGCCGCACTGAGAGGGAGGAAGATGCGTTGAATCGGTCGTCCGGAAGGTGAGTCCATGGCCGAGACCCACTTTCCCCTCCAGTGGAGACTGGCTGCTGGAAGGCAGCGGAGCTGAGGACGCAACACGTGCGCTCCCGGCGGGCGGCGTGCATGGGGG